AAAACCACGCGTAAAAAATCGTAGAGCAACCATATTCAAGTTTTTTAAGAGATGGATGGATTCAAAACACGACGGGTACGCACGAGAGAAAGCGTATATTTATCTCTGATTGCAACGTTATGCACCAATTTCATGTTTTATTTTTAATATATGTTCTTAAAAAGCTACAGACAGTTTTTCCAAAAAATTTCCGCGAATTTACTTAAATGATCTCAAATAATAGTATCGAAAATTTCGACACAATGTTTTCGTTCGCTGTTTTTTTTTTTTTTAATGTAACCAAAACAAAATTAAATCTCATCTGAGTTTAGGCATCGTTACAATGAAGATACATATTTCCCCTTTAATTATGGTAAAAACTTGAGCAGAAAGTCAAAAATGATGACTCGCAGTCCAACAGCATTCTTGTACATTCTTGTAGGCGCTGAGATGTGTTCCAAGCCAACTGACCGACTGCACTGCGTTAGGCGCAATGCGAGAAGTATTCATGCAGTCTTGTAGGCGCTGATATGGGCTGAACGCTGACCGCACTGTTTGGCGCAATGCGTGAAGTATTCCTATAGTCTTGCAGGCGCTAATATACGTTTAACGCCGGCTGCACTGTTTGGCGCGATTATCCGAACTCCCGTTACAATAATCTCTGCATCGAATAACAGAACTTAAAAGGCTCATGTTGTATTTTGACGCCGCATAAACATTTCAAGGTTGCCTCGTTTCTCCCGAGTAAATATTTTTTTCCGAGAAAAGATAGGTAAGTTCTTTATACCCTCGACCAGTATCAATCATATCACTTCTTTTATCATCAGAGGGTAAGACATCGATGATTTGTCAACAAACTAACCGGAACTAGCGTAACATAATAATGCGTTTATTTCCCAATTGTTTCCTGCTGTGCCAAACCTCTACCTTACATTAACCCCATTTTAAAATTCGCGCATTCCTGTAACAGATGTTAAGGTTTCTATTCGCGCAATCCTTGTGTCTTTTTCGCACAATCCTTAAATATTTTCTTAGACCTTTCGCGCAATTCTGGATTATCGTGATCGATAAGTATAAGCAAGGTTAAAAATGCAGCACAAAAACGGTGCCTTGGGGTTAGATTCTAAGTTGAAGGTTACTCTCATAAATACTTTTTTAATCTGCTGCATATTGATTTGAAAAATGTCTAAGATACTCTGAATTTTTCTTCTCTTTTGGGGATGAAGAGCTCTGGAGTTTGACCGTGGATTTGTTTTTCCTAGCATAATTACAAAATCGATTTTCTGACGGCTAAAATCCAGACGTTCTCAGTCACTCATGGGTTCTCTTTATAGTAGCAAGTACGTAAAATGTGATCTCACTTTCCAAAATTATCATTTTAAAAATACTTAACGTAACGTAACATTTTGTGGTCGTATTGGTGACATGATGAAGCGAGTTACGTTTTGCCAACAATATGAAATCAGGATGATGTTAGCTCATTGCCTTTTCAACTCCACTCATTTTAGCACTTTTTACGATGGAATGATATCACTGCACTGGATCGTTTTTGGCAAGTTTATGACTGCATAAAAGGGTGTTTCATTATCCACCAAATGGCAAGTTTCCTCTTAATGACCGGGTCGCTCCACTTAGATTTTAATATTTTTGCAAGTGGGAAGTTGAATTCTCTGACTGCAATGTGAACATTGAATATCAACCTCTCTTCTGTGTTAATTTTGGGTAGTTTTAGTTGATAGAACGTAGTCTACATGAAATGTTGTGAAGAAGCACGTCATGCGGTGCTTAAATGGATCTCCGATGGATCACAGCCGGAAATGCAGGCATAATTGTTTCTGATGGAAAATGGCTTAAAAATCTCGATAAGGACATCAAAGAAGTCTGAAATTCATTTTCAATCTCCTCACATGCATGAGAAAGAGCTTTTTGCGGAAACGATATTTTTCACTCGTACCCCACTCCCTAATAATTGTTCTCAAAACGTTCTCTATTGATTACTCATACTTTGACGTTTCTTTCCCCAAATTTTCAGACCTACTTATAACGTTGTGTTCTTTTCAACTTTTCAAACTAAGAAAAATGTATGGCTTAGAAACCAATTAGTGACGCATATGGAACACCAAAAGTAGTGGTAAAGGTCATTTATAATAATAGCGTATATACCTGTAGCTTAGTATATTCACATCAGGCCGAGAATCATTAGTTCATTTACCACTACTAGTGGTGTTCCATATGAGCCGCTAATTGGATTATAAAGCCACAAATTTTTCTCCGCACAGGTTAAGCTCAGTAAGAAGAAGTATTTTTATTGAGAAACTGTGTGTGTCACATGGCGATCATTTTCTGCTCCGCGTAAAGTTATGGAACCGAAGTGACTCATCTGTATTAAATTGTGTTTTTGACACCGTAAACATTTGAAGCGAAACTTCAAAAATGCGCGATTTCTTCAACGTAGATTGTGAAGTTAGGAGTGAATTCTAGGCTTTCCTTATGCACTCATTACGAAATAAAGAAACATTTTTTTCTCTCGAAAAGTCTGCGGCGACCATATTCAAGGACCACAGGATATTTTTTGTCTCAACAAAATGTCATACAGAACACGTTCAACATAATATGTATAAGTATCCAAAATCAATACATGAGAAGGAGATTAGCACTTACTGTTTTCTTTGGAGTCGGAAAATTCAAACCTCCTGCTCTTGGGAAATCCCAAAATCATTGTGGATCAGATTAAGTGCTGAGAATAAACTAAGCATTCGGAAAATAAAAATCTTCGTGTTTCACGCACATTTTTCCTCTTTTCATAAATCGTAGAGTAATTGTAAACGTGTCGAAAATGGTCTAGTATTGTGAAAGAAAGCATTTGATTTTAAAACTCGCTCAAATAAATTGAGTGTCCAATGGATCGTTGGTTAAACAATGAAACAGCCTCAAAAGTCAATTGAGCACCCCAAGGAAGCGAGCATTTTATTCTCATGAGTACAAAATTGCAATAAAAAGTGATATTGTCAGGAATTTTTCAATTTCAGCTTTCCAACTTGAATCCTAAAATTTTGTTTAAGGTCCTGTTCTGTTGTTTTTAACCAAACGATATATCGAACCACTCTCGAATGTAGTCCATAGGTTTCCATACTAGGTTTTAGTTCCCTCAGTGAATGGGAAGTTTGAGTCGATACAACGGATAACGTTAACTCTCAACTTTTTAATTAAATTTGGAAATTCCGAATATGTGCACAGTGTTGAACGTGTAATTTGATGAGAGAAAATAGACTTCAATTCCTGATTTCTGACCGTGTCTAATGATCCATCTACAGTCCATTACTGAGTGGCCGTGTCGTAACATCTACGGGTCAGTAAGCAAAATTGCCTCGCTTGTGCTACGGAAGGACGCTACTTTAATAAGTAATTTTCGGAGGAAAAATTGTGAGTATGTTACCTCCAATTTTCCATAGCTATTTATCCGCAATCACTACTATGAGCTCTCTTACCGCCTGAAGTTTCATTTTTCGTCACAGTTTGCCCTCCGTTCTACTGCGGGTCGATTTCAATGCTTTTTGGGGCTATCGACAGGTGAAAACCCCTAAATGAGCTCGATCTATTCAAATTTTGGAAATATAACCCAGTCGTTTATATATTACGTAATAAAGTTGTAAACTCCTCCATTTGAACAGTGTTACAACAAGGTGAACTAGTTTATTTTTTGTCATTGTTCATTCTAAAGATTTATAGGCTTATTCTCATGATTTCTGCAGCCATCGATAAATGGTCCATAGACTAGCCTGCTGGCTGATTGTTGAAATTGATAGACAAAGAAAACATAAGGAGTGTGGAGCGATCCTATCATGGGTAGTTCTTATATTACGGGAGCACCACAGTAGGAAATGATGGACTAGCTATGCCACATTGCCACAGGGTATCTCGAGGGTTTCCGTCAGTCTATTATCTAAGTCTTCCGTCCATTGCAACCAACTGCTCCCACCAATAATATGCCTTCATATCCCTTTTGTCTTCTTTGTCTGTTTCTTTTTCTATAAATTTGAACAAACTGCCCTCAGGAACGACTGTACATACGACCCTATGACTCTAAAGAATTCAGAGTTCAGAATTTCTAAGGTAGGTAATTTTTTAGGACCGAAACTTATACACTGTCAATGGTAGAAGTTTATGCCATTCGGAACCCACTTAATAATGTTTGTGTATATTTTATCGTATTTTGTCAATTTTCTGATCGAATTTAGGCTCATGAAAATTTTGCCGGTGCCCGGATGAAACTCTATGCCCGTGAAAAAGAATGTTAAAGGTTTCAAAAATTTTTACAAAATGTGTCTCAAGAAATCTAGTTACCGTAGTAAGCAATTGTAATCAAATTCTTGATTTACACTGGCAGCAATTAAGCACTGGTTTTCGGATTTTCAAGAGTCATACATGATCATAAAGCTAGTAAACACTAGCATGTTCTTCGTCCATGTCTAATTGTCTACAGGTGTGTTGCCTTTGCAATAATTGTGTACTGTAGCGAAGAATAGGTACGTCTGCAATGATCTAGAACTATGCTGCTGTGCTAAAGAAGAACGCCGCATGAGCCTTCAGACGCTTCCATATTTATTTCAATACAAATTTAATTTACGCGGAAAATTGTTAGTATTTTCCTTCAATTTTTCAGGCAATTTTGTTCGCAATTTTATCTAAAACGTCTACAAATTTCAAGAACAAATACGCATAATGTTCTTTAAAACTACACGTTTTATCCGAGTCAATTTGGCACCTTTCAAATGTGCATACGGCGTTCTTCCTTAGCACGGCAGTATGTATGCTTGTATGACTGTGTCAGTTTGTTACTAAAAGCTGAGCAAGGACTTACATTTGCCTGTATTCATCTGGATCATTTCAGCAAAGAAAATTGTAAGGTTTACTCAAAACAACAATTTTGAATAATTATTTTGAATCTTCTTAACACTCCATGACCAATCGGCCCGTGTAAAGCAGCGGTCGTATCAATGAGGAATGAATAAACTATTTAATCAATAAAGGATAAATATAATGCATATTAAAAGATCAAACAAATAAATCGATACAATAAGCAAATAATTACCTAAAGACAAGATACTACAGCTTTTACTTAAACTATGTGTTAAGAGCGGGCAGCGTTCGGAATGTGGATCCAAGTGACATATTGAAAAATCCTAACTTTATTTTGGTAAATTTGGCATTTTGAAAACCATGCTCAGAAAAGGATGCATGGCTTCTCTGACGTATATGCGGAAAACGCCACTTGGTTAGATCAATTTGTGTGCCTCAACAAATCTTCAATTTCTCCTCAGGCCTTTCTTTATCCGCTTTGGCATTTGCTTAAGCTGAACAGTCTTGTACTGATGCTCATTAAAGCTCAAAATTTTCGAACTTCTGCCCTTGCCCCCCCCCCCAAAAAAAAAAAGAAAAAATAGTGTGGACGCAGTACTATTTTTCCACCTTCTTTAGTTCGGATAACATTTTTTTAAACGTTTTTTTTTTCTTTTTTCGTCCAACTACATTTATGTGACGGTATAAAAATGGATTCGTGATAAAAGGCGGCCGATAAAAATGCTTGATGGAATATTTTCCGCCATTCGTGACACAGGGTAGGAGCCTTAGTTGCTGTGGCTCACCATCCTCTACTTCCCGCTTACGCCTGATGTAGCAGCACCACTACTACTTGAAGACCCAGCGGAGTCACCTGCTACTCCACTATTATTGTTGCCGTCAGACGATCCTGATACTCCAGTGCCAGTGGCGACGGCCGTCACTGCACCGCCGCCACCTGAAGCGGCCGACGACGCCGCCGACGAGGAACCTGTGCCTCCGTTATTGGGGTTGGGCCGGGCGTTGACGGGTCGGCTGATGCAGACGGCCACGAGGAGGGCGACAAGAGCCAGAGTAACGGCGCGAGGAGGAACGAGTGCCATGACGTTGACGTCGATCGATCTGAGGAACGACACAAAGTCATCAAATCAATCATATATTAATTTCACAATCGGAAAGATTTGGTCACCTTCCAGGCAAAGTATCACAAGCGCCATGCGACGTTTAAAAATTTCTGCCGCCATTTTATTTCTTTACAGACAAATTGTTCGACGAAGCTGTCCGAAAATTTCACTGAATTTTCTTTGTGCTGCCGATAAAATTTAGTGATATTTCCAAACAGATTCAACCAACAATTTCTCAGTAAATAAATAAAATGGCGGCGGAAATTTTTAAACGTCGCATGGCGCTTGTGATACTTTGCCTGGAAGGTGACGATTTGGTCAAAGCAAGGTGCAGAGACCAGAGACCCTCCACTGACCTCCTAGCGACAGGTGGAAGCTTCTACTCTCGGGGTTTCAACAATTCCTTATGGACAATTGGACGTATTTCTACCAAACAGACCTATGTGGAGGTGAGAAATATGGGGTGTGCTCGTCGAAGCTGCATAAGAAGCTATGTAAAAGTGGGCGTGATTCCTTTTGAAGAATTGGAAAAGCGGGATTTTACATTCTATCAAACAGACCTATGTGCCAACTGAATGCGAAACTCATGAGCCGCGGACATGGCAAGAGAGCGTTGTGGACAAGGCTCATGAGTTAATGCCCCCCGACGAAGATCGCGCCCCCGCTCTGGGGCTCGATCATTGCCGCTGACGTCACTGGCGCTTTAATATTCTCATTCACTCTTACGGCCAGAGAACTAACGAGCATATCCCATATTTCTCACCTCCACATAGGTCTGTTTGATAGAAATACGCCCAATTATTAGGGAGCAACAGTCATCACGCTAGTTTCGGCTGTTGACTTACCTACATGGTCGATGATGAGCTTCGGATGACGTCATGAGCCAAACAACTTTCCCGAACGTCGGCCATTTTCGGCCTGTTTGCGAAACGAAACTGCCAACACGTTGTTGAACATCAACCATGTAGGTAAGTCAACAGTAGAATGCTCAAGTCCCGAAAGTAAAAGCTTCCACCATGGCCAAGATACTAGTGGAGGGTCTCTTGTCTCTGGCAAGGTGTCATAGGCGTAGCTAGGTTATTTCACCAGAGGGCCTGACCCCCCATCACGGGGGATCTGAGGGGTAGAGGATACCCCCTAGCACGAAAGGGTGTCCGGGTCCTCCCCAGAAAATGTTTTGAATTTACCTCAGATTGGACGCATTTACGGTTTTCGTAACGCTGATCGGACGTATTTCTGTCAAACAGAACTATGTGGAGGTGGGGAAGATGAGGTGTGCTTGTGCTCCTTAGTGCTCGGGCCGTGGCGAATGAATGGGGATTATAAGGCTCCAGAGACGTCAACGGCCAAGACGCAGCCGTCGTCGAGCAATAACTCATGAGCCCTGTCCACAAGACTCTAGATACATGCCCATGGCTCATAGGTGCCGCATAGAGTTGGTACGTAGTTCCGTTTGCTGAATTGGAAAAGCGGGATTTTACGTTTTGTCAAAAGGAATTATGTGCAAACTGTACGAGCCATGGGCATGTATCTAGAGCCTTGTGCAAAGGGCTCATGAGTTAATGCTCGACGACGGTGGCTTCGTCTCCGTCGCACCAAAAATTCCCATTCATTCTTAAGGCCCGAGCACTAACGAGCACACCCCATCTTTCCCACCTCCACATAGCTTTGTTTGTCAGAAACACGTCCAATTCTCCATTCATTTTTGCACACAAATCACGCTGTTTACTGTATTTCAGCTCAAAATACTTTTGCATCGATGGATTCGATGGATTTTCTGTTATCTTTTCCTCCACCCAGAATTTCTGAGTGGGGCTGAATGATACCATTTTCAATTGTAGGGGGGAGGGGGTGCAAGCCCTCTTGAAGGCCCCTAGCTACGCTCATGGTCAAGTCAGACGGCGCGGCGCACAGTGGATCGGGTCAATAGGAGAGGTCGGACAAAATTTGAAAACTTATAAAACGCTTATATTTACGTATATAAACGCTTATAACTCCGTTTATACAAAACTTTGAGGTCCTAAAAATTGATTCATTGGTTTCCTCGTAAAATTTCCATCGAGTAGCACACCCTGAAATTTAAAATGTGATGAAACAAACATCAAAATTTGCAGTTCTTGTCAAAAATTTCATGTCCGACCTCTTTAATTGACTTGATCCTCTGTGCGGCGGGCTGAGAGGCGTATCACGTCACCTGTTGCGGTTGCGTTATGGCGCGGCGCGGTCTTGTGCGTTACCTCGCCGGATCTTCATATGCACATTCCCAGCCAGAGCTACCTGGTATCCGGATGAGATGAGAATTAAAGAATTCTACCACATGGTTCCGAATTAAAATTTCACATAGAACACAATTTGCGCAACGGAAATTGTTGATATTAACTCCATAGTGAGACATTCAACGTTTTTGTATGCGTGGATTCAACCCTTCCCGCACTCATGAAAAAACAAGACACTGCATCAGTCAAATCGCGCACTAAACAGCGCACTAAAAATATGACACACTTAATCTTGGTGATTCGACTCAGTTATTGCCCGTTGTCTACACTTCATTAACAGTACGTTGTAGGGAAGGTACATTATTTGATTCGTTAGCCCCTTATAATCGGAGTAATGCGCGATTTGGCTCACGTATAGAGAGAGTATCATTTATCTTGTGAGCGGACAATTCAAATTTTCTGTGACCAATGAGAACTGAAAACGTTGATATCTGGTCACCTTCCGGCCAAGGTATTACAAGCGTAATGCGACGTTTCAAAATTTCTGCCGCCATTTTTTATTATTATAGAAAAATTGTTGGTCGAATCCGTTTGAAAATTTCACTGAATTTTATCGGCAGCACAAAGAAAATTTAGTGACATTTTTTGACAGCTTTGTTGAACAATTTCTCTGTAAAAATATAAAATGGCGGCGGAAATTGTTAAACGTTCCATGGTGTTTGTGATGCTTTGGCAGAATGTGACGATCTTACTCAGGATTTAATTGAAGCAATTTTTGTTCCTTGAATAATGTTCTACATGAAATTTGTATACAAAACATTGTATTGGAATACTTAAATTCTTACCTCGTCTGGTGATCCATCAAATGGACTGCATTTCGCAAATAGGAGCTACAATCTCTGGCTCATCCATAAAAAGTGTGAGCATAGGGACACTGATGGTACAAAATTTGTTCCTAAGCTGAGCCAGAAAGTATAGCTTCTATTTGCGAAATGCAGTCCAAATAAGTATTCTGTCAAGTAGTATAAAAAGGCTGGCAAAAACTCAATTCCTGTAAAATATCTAAGCATAATAATCATGGATACGAGTTGCTACCGTGAATTTGTTCAACAATACTCACTGCAAATCGCACACAAGCTTGAAAATGTGTTCACTAGTTTTACGCCTCGAAGAAGAAATGGACTACATTCTGCAATTTGGAACTACAATTTTCAGCTCACTTTAAAAACACCGTACGTGCAATAAGTTTTCATACGCAGATAAGTGATTCTACAAATGAGTCAGAAATTGTTGTTCCTAATTGCAAAATGAAGTCTAAATATTACTCACCTAGTGATGACGATACTCGTGAGGAAACTGAACTACTGAGGCAGATCCAAAGTCCGGTCACTTTTATATACCATGTTGAAGTTGAAATTACAACAGGATTTCCTTCTTTTTGTTTTGAGATTATCTAAATAACCGTGAAAATGTAGGTCAACAAAGTTTGCATCTCAAATTCAATACATTTTAAAAATTGCATAAGTTCTTAAAACATGGGCTCTGTGCCCAAGAGAAGACGTCCCTAAACAATTTTCAAAAATTACAATGAAAACCGCACATGAATTGTGTCTCTTTCAAAGAGTGCACATTATGACTCAAAGAAAACAATACGGTAGAAGTGCTGCTGATAATATTCATCCGTCTTTTAATGATTACGAAAGTCTCGTAAAGTTTAAAAGTCCTTGAATATCCATAATCGTTCAAAATGTGCAAGCTACCTAAGGTCGCATGGTCATTGTATTCGCAAAAAGATAAATTGGGCCAGCAAGTATGGTTAAAATTGTTACACAAAGAAAGCATTGTAGAGTGAGATTTAGAACAGAGGATATTTTTTCAAAAATTCACTTGTTATCTGGCTCAGATTGTTCTCCAGATTCTCCAAAATATTTTTTGTTTTTTTGTGCCGCACTAGGTGGTTTTAAAATTTTCAAGGAAACGCCGGTTTTATCCGGAGAAACAATTCGCCTGAAAAGAAAAAATTGGAAGAGCATTAGTCCTGCGAATTTTTCTTCCCTTTTGGAGCAATGAGCTAGGCTGGAAATCGACTGAAGGGTTCAATTTTCTGACACAAAAAAAAATAATTGATCCAAGTATTTGAAGTTCTCTTCAAAGCATATTCTAAAATTCTATACTAATACGTTTTTACGATCGCTTTCGTAATCTATCTATCCGCGGTAACACTCTCCTATCACTACTTCAAATCTTAATAATTTTCTAAGAAATTCAATGGGCCTTCTCTCTTTTTTAGCCATCAAGTTTCCATTTTCGACCCACGGTGCGCCCAGCCACCCACGAGTATCTGACGCAGGATTTTAGGTTGCACATGAGATGCACTTAAATCACCATAAACGGAGCGGCTGCTAGGACCCGGGATTTACGAGCCGGCTCGCGTATCCTACGTAAAATTTCGCAGAAAAAAACAAGCCACCGGTTGACACGAAAGGCGTTCAAAGTTGCAATCGTAATGGTCGCTTATGACAAACCTACTCGCCCAATTTCACCTCAGATAGTTGGTCACTTAGTCTATACGAATGTAGAATCTACGTATGGCCATAGTTGCAGAGCTGCTTTAAAATTCCGAGTTTGGGGGCATGACTACCTGACAGGATGAGATTGAAAGGCGTACATGGAAATTTTTAGGCAATTAGTTTCTTTGGGTAGAATGAAGTCTAATAAGTTTGATCCTCTTGTTCCTCGGTTTACAGGGTTATCATTTGTATTCACTTTAGGAGGTTTAACAGGCAATATTTTCGGTAATTCTTTGGGTAACATTATTAGGTAGTTAGAATTCTTTGCAAGTGTGGAGGAAAAGTGCAGCATTTTGACTTATGTTAGAACGTTTTTGCCGTGGGGCGGCAGTCTCAAGAGTGCAGAAACTTTCGTACCATGGGACTGGCCGATCCTTGTCCGGTTCGGTATAATAGTGGAACCTTGTGAGGGGCGGGGGGTTTTTATTTTTTTTTATTTTAATTTTTTTTTGCAAGGTGGGGAAAAAACATTCAAGCGCGCTGTTCTACAACAAAATCGTTGACCGCGTTTCTTTATGTGTTGGGCTAAATTTTGGAAAACCTTGATATGGAGGAACCAGAAATTTTAGGAGAACCCTCGGAAGTTTCTGCACCCCTGGGTAGACTTATCCTTTCGCCTCGACGTTTGAACAAAATGTCTTATTAAAGGAATCAAGTAGTCTTCAAGTATCTTCCTCGGCAGCCTTTCTTCCGTCATCCTGTTTAACCTGACCATACCAGACAAGGTGTTTGGTCATGACGTCGAATATGATTGGGTTCCTCCTGGGAGGAAACGAGAGGAACGCCCAGAGAAAGGGTGGCGACAGGGGGTTTTAGAGGAAATGAGGGAGTGCCAACTACCTGAGTGGCTCTAGGAGGATAGAGGACTTTGGCGGCTGGGTGTCAAAGAGCGCTGCAAAAGTAGTTTCTAATGTGTGTAAGTCTTAAAGTTTTGAGGAGCCTCTAAAATCTCGGTCCGAGATACTGTCCAGTAATTCCAGTACCTCCATTACACGCGAGAAAAGCAGGAAATCCTATCGGCGCGGCATCCCTGCTCAGACTGCTATTAAAAGTCGCAACTTTGGTTTTATTTGGTTAACCTTGGTGCAGGAAGTTCATGACTCAGTAGATGCAACTATGCCGCGTTTCCGACCGCGGTTATTGACTTGTCAGTGTCAATAAAGGACTCAACCGCAGAAACCACCCAACTCCCGCTGAGACCACGCGTGTACTTACGCGGTTTTCGGTGGAGCTGCGAGGAGGCGCCATTGATGAGTCACTTTACGAGTCGGTTGCCAGCGATTTTATCGCCGGTGCGCCACCCATGTTACATCAGAGTGACAGAACGACTACAAGCTCGCAGATCAGTAGGATGATGGGAACAAGGTGCCTATGATTTTTTTATGACCGCAGAATCCTACAAAATTATTTTTTTATCGTCGGGTGGGATTTAACGCACTCGACAGAACTCAATACTTTCTCCAACATAAAGATGACCGAGCTGCAAAACCACGTATCTTCATTGCTATGTTTCAATATGTCCGCTACTATTTTATTATCTCGAAGAGGAATTTCAAATGTCTCTAATGTCTAAATGATCTATCTATATCTAATAATATCTATCTGATCTAAATCTGTCTCTAATATCCTCTCTCTCTCTTTTTAATTTCAAAATGTCTGCTCCTGTTATATTTGGGGGAGGGGGGGGGCAAGCTACCTTTATAGCTTGGAATTTATGCAGAATAAGCTGCTTGCAGAGAAGAATAATCAAGGGAGTCTTCAACAAATGATGATGACTAGTTTTCTAAAGAAAAAATCAAATATGTCAGGAGGTCTGCAACGTTGCAAACGGAGAAACGTGGTTTCGCACTTTGGCCATCGATATCGAAATCGGTGGTTTCTTTCCTTAGAGCTTTTTCCACATTGAGTGTTTGGTGTAGAACTCTCAAATTTTGCAGAAGTTTTATTGTAAATTCGACAAAGCCGCCAAAGTTATGAAAAATGAACGCCGATTTTTATTTAAATTACCAAAGCGTTCGCGTCCTCTCAAAGGCGTTATTTTCAAGTGATTGAAAGTGCACCCTCCTTAAGATAACTTCATTTGTTTCAAAGAAATGCCAATGCAAAGTGAGAAAACTGTAACTTACCAGGAGAGTTTCACCGTAGATGTTTTTATTCAAATAATCATCAAGGTTTTTTGCAAAATGCATTAAAAAATGTATAAAAGTGAGCACTTACCATTCTAATGAACAAATGAAACAACTAAGTATTCGAGTCCTATCCCAGCAATCCTTGCTGAATCGCACCTGCATTGTATATATAATGGACCACTAGACAACGAATTTCGAATTACGAATTACGAATTTCAGCATTCTGATACATGTTTCTCAACCAAAATTTCACGTAGAACACGATACGCACAGTGAAAATTACCAAAATCAACTCCTGACGAAGATATTTAATGATTCTTGATGCGTGAATTCAAACCACCCGCTCATGAAAACTCAATGCTCTACGTGATTCACATCGCGCGCTAAATGTTTATCATGACAGTCTCTGCGATGTAAAAATCTTCAACTTCAATCTTGACACTTTGGCTCAGCTATAGCAAATTACCAATAGTTTGAACAACACATGGTGGAAATGAACATTGCTCGATTGAGAAGTTTGCTGAAACCGTTGTAGTGCGCGATTTCACTCACGTAGAGCTTTGAGTTTCTTGTGAGCGGGCAGTTCAAATTCCTCGTAATCAGTGCGGAATAAAAACGTTAATATCTTCGTTAGAAGTTGATTTCGGTAATTTTCGTAGTGTGAATCGTGTTCTACGTGAAATTCTGGTTAAGAAACATGTATCAGATTGCTTAAATTCGTAGGTACCTTGTCTAGTGGTCCATTACAATGCGACGCAGCTGATTCGATGATGTGCATGAAGGTGTATTACACACTGATGCATGGAAACTCATTACAACGTTCTAATATTTTCGAAGACTGTTTATTTTTGTGCAAATATTGACACATGGGCAAATTTACTACGGAAAGCTCGTCTATTTCAAAGCTATCAATACCAGTGCAATTTCAAATGAGATTATATTCCGTCAATCCGTCCGTACAAAAGTGGATCATACATGGCAGTTTTAAAATTTTCCTGCATAGAACTGCATACAAAAAATCGATTCAACTGATCTGCGCTTTCCCGCTGAAATAAGGTAATTGTCAAAAGTAAAATATAGCGTGACGCACGTCGCATGGTGACATATCGTCATAAAAGTCACGTCCCTTGGAATTGCACAACAAGCCTGTCCAATACACATCCTCTCCGATTTTTTCACCGCTTACGTTTACATCATAATCTACATCAAAGGTTTAAGCAGTATTGACACCATCCGAAAGAGTGAATCGATTTCTCCGCCGGCTATGACTGGTAATTGATTCCTTTATGATTACTTTTTTTTCGATTTTGGCAGTTGGCACTAAGCCTTTGTGTACGGTTTCGCTTTAAAAGCCTGGGATTTAGAATTTGCATAATCCGTGAGCAAATCGGATCACTCCGGACAACTTTATTCTTCGTATGCGGATGTTGCCGGAACCGATTTGATGAAGTGGCGAGGCGTGAATGATCGATTATCGATATTTTCTCCATTTAAAACTATGGTAAAGAATCTATTATCAGAGTATTCGTTGCGAACACCCTGTTTATCGATTCTTTTCCATAGGTTTAAATGGCAGATCAATCGATACATCGCAAAGCACGCCACACCACTGTTTTGTTGCGATTGAAGACGAATCATCTAAACACATCTGGTCAGTTTATAATCCTTGTTAGGATAATCTCTCGTATCGACTATCGATAGACCGTACTTTTAGGGGCGGAATTATTGGTGGGGTAAGAGGCGTTGCGA